TGTTAGTCTCTAAGGTGCCACAAGTCCTCCTGTTCTTCTTTTTGCGGATACAGACTAACACGGCTGCTACTCTGTGCCCTATTTTAGCAATTTGTCCTGAGTTGGCACTCTCAGTTGGGTTCCGCCAGAACCGCATTGTCACAACGTCCCAGCCCCATCCCCTCCACCTGGATCCTGTCCTCAGCTCCTCGGCTTCCCCGGGGCCCAGCCGAGCTCTCCAGCTGGACTAGAGCCCCCCTCCCGGGGAACCGTCTCCTCGCACAAACCCCACTCCCAGGCTCTCTGCAGCCTCCGGGAGCAGCCTCCCGGAGCATCCACACACACCCCGGGTTCCTGCCCTGGTTCTCCTGCGAAGCGCCCCACAGCCACGCCTAGCCCTGCCCAGAGCCCAGATGCAGCCTCTCTCTGCTGGCAGGGGGAGCAGGATTGCTGGGATTGGGGTCTGCAGGTCGTTAACCCTTTCCCCGCCTTACACTCAAGCAGGGGGTGGGCGCCTGTCCCACCCGACCACAGGGGGCCGGGAACGGGGCAGGTCCTGGATTCTGAGTCTGGGCGCCCGGGTCTGACTCCGGTTCTGCGCTCACTGCTCTGGATTTCACGCTGGGATCCGGATTCTCTCTCCTCCCAGGGAGGCCGTGGTGAACCGGGTCTTCGATAAGCTGGCCCCGCTGCACGAGCGGATTTACTGCGCTCTCTCCGGCTCCGCCGCCGACGCCCAGGCCGTCGCGGACATGGTGCATTACCAGCTGGAGCTGCACAGGTAGGGCGGGGAGGCCGGGCGGGGTCCCCTGGGGGGTGCCGGGGGGGGGGGGGCTGGAGCTCACATGGCCTCTTGTGCACGGCGGCTCCTCCTGTTATCACTGACCCCCCCCCCCGTTCCTCTCCCCAGCCTGGACATGGACGAGGCCCCGCTGGTCCTGGCGGCCGCCAGCCTGGTGAAAGGCGTCAGCTACAAGTACAAGGAGGAGCTGTCGGCGCATCTCATGGTGGCGGGATGGGACCGGAAGAAAGGGGGGCAGGTGAGGCGGGGGGGGGGCTGGCAGCGGGGGGGTGTCCGTCTACCCCCTACGGTATCCACCAGCCTGGCCCCCCCCAGGGCCTGGCTGCAGAGTCTGTGCTGCGACCCCCTCCCCTCCGTTCTCCTCCCCTCGGCCCATCCCCGTCTCCCTGCAGTGTCCCATCCAAACCGATTAATGCTCCAGAACAAGCCATGCCTGGGGTGCAAAGGGGCCCTGGCCCCCTCGGGGAGATAGAAAGGGGGGTGAACATTAACCGCCCCCAGCGGGGCTGAGCTCCGCATCTCACCCGCCAGCTGGGCAAGGAGACCTGCCCCGGGGTGTGTCCCGGTTGCTTCCCCGCAGGGCCCCACGGCTCCTCGGCCCGGCCAGGCTTGGTAAAAACACCCCGTTAACGTGTCCTCGTTCGCTCCCTTGGCCATCGCTGGGCAGGTCACCAGCCGCCGGGAGCCAGGCCAGCACCCCCGGGGGGGTGAACCCAGAACCTCCTGCCCCGTCGATGCTCACGTGGCCGCGGGCTGGGTAGGCTCCCAAGGCCTGGCTGTGTGTCCGTGCCATGCAGGGCGGCGAGGAGAGATGCCCACCCTGAGACCCGGCAGGGGGCCGAGGGAACGGCCGGTCTTTACCGCAGTCAGTGCTTTGAATGTCAGCGTTAGTCACCCCCTGTCCATGGTGCCACAACCGCCCTGCCCCAGCCCGCGCCGGGCCGCTCTCACCTGGCATGTGTTCGCTCCACAGGTGTACGGGACGCTGGGGGGGATGCTCACCCGCCACCCCTTCGCCATCGGCGGCTCCGGCAGCAGCTACATTTACGGTTACGTGGATGCAGCCTATAAACCCGGCATGACTCCAGAGGAGTGTCGCCAGTTCACCAAGAACGGTAACTGCTCCCGGGCGGGGTTCGGCAGGCCCAGGGCGCGGTGACCCCAATCCAACCCCAGGGCAGGGACTGGCTGGCTCAGGGGGGCAGGGAACGGGACACAGAGCCTTTCCCCTCTAGGGGGCGCTGGCTCTCATCCAGCCCCAGGGCGGGGGAACCGGCTGGCTCAGGGGGGTGGGGAACGGGTCACGGGGCCTTTCCCCTCTGGTGGCACCGATTCACTAACCCCTCGTCTCTCTCCCCAGCCATTGCCCTGGCGATGAGCTGGGATGGCTCCAGCGGGGGGGTGATTTATCTCGTCACCATCACCAAGTCGGACGCTGTGGAGCAGGTGTTCCTGGGGGACGAGATCCCCAAGTTCTACGACGAATGAGTTCCGGGCCGGCCCCTCTTTTATACCCAATAAACCTCTCCAAGCGCAGGCGGCGTGTGAGACTCACTGGGCGGGTACACGGGGCCGGAGGGGGTAGATCAGCGCAGAACCATGACGAGTTATCCTGATTTATACCCACGTTAGAGATTTGTACCCCAGCTCCCCCCACGTCCCAGCTCCCGCCCTCCCTGCCCCTCCCAGGGGGCTTTTACAAACCAGCCTCTTATCACCCCCCTCCCGACACTTGCCAACCCCCGGCTGTGATAGACAGGGCCCAGCTCTGTTCCCCAGCCCTGGGTCACCTTTGTACACCCCACCTGTAGCTGGGGCAGGGGGCTGAGAGCAGGTCTCTCACCCCAGTTCTCCATGCAGTGGGGGTTCCCGGGGGCAGTTTGCCCCCTTTTCTAGTGAGGCCCCTAAAGATCAGGGAAGCCCCACAGGGACACACATGGGGCAGGGGACGGGAACAAAGGGGATTATTATCGAGGAACACAGGGATTGCTGCACTGGATCAGACGCCAGGTCCATTAGCCCAGGCTCCCGTCTGTGAACAGTGACCAGCGCCAGTTGGGTCAGAGCAAGGGGCCTCCGGGCCAGGCTCCCGTCTGCGCCAGAGACTGGGGCAGAGCAAGGAGCAGAACCCGCAGGAGCAGCTGTGGGACAAAATCGGCCCTGTGATTATCAGAGATCAGCTCAGGCCCTGCAGTGCGAGGTTTGAGATCCTGCCCAGTGTCAGCATGAGCTGGTCTAGCCCTGGGTAGTCTGTGAGACACAGACATGGCCTGTGCCCCTGTGAGTTTCACTTAGTTCTTGGGCTCAGTGACGTCCTGTGGCAGGGAGTTCCACAAGCTAATTACACAGTGTGTAGTGTAAAATATTTCATTTTATCAACACTTCCCAAACAAGTCTGCCAACTTTCTTTGTCAGATCCCTCTTTGGAAGTCACCTCTTCCATAAGGAGTATGCATTAGATCCAGCGCCAAATGTGAAAACATCATGAATTACGACCTCTAAAAACCATGAGATTGGCTAAAAAAAATCATGAGATTTACAAAAATGGGCGAGGGGGTAATTTGGTTTCTGAGTTTTTAGGGTTTGTGGTTTTAAGCTTTTCTTTGCAATCAGCAGGGTGACACTTGCTTTAAAACAAATAATCAAGCTGAAATTCTCCCCTACTCCCAGGACTCCCGGACCTGGGACTTTACGCCTAACCCCCAAATATCACAAGACTTGTGACAAAATTGTGAGAGTTGGCAACACTGCGACCCACTGCTGCAGCCCCTCAGCCCCTCCTCGTTAGGTCAGCTCGTCAGGGCAGGAGCTGTCAGTCCGATGTGTTTGTCCTGCACTCAGCACGACAGGGCCTGGGCTGGGCTCTGGCCTTTTGGTGTAACCACAATGGAAAATCCCACTCCCTTAGAGCAGCAGAAGTAGCTCAGGGTCGCAGCCCTCCTGCCATTGCTAGCGCTCCTTGCGTCCTAAGAGGCCTCACACAGCACACGCAGCCCCATGGAAATGCAGCCACCTCTGGGGAAGTGTGCATCAGCCAGACACTTGGTGGAAACGTTGGCCAAGGACAGTGGGGCAAAGCCCTGCTCCTATGGAAAGTGCCTTGTGGGATCTGTAATATCCGCGCAGGGGGCTGGGGATGTCGGGTCTCACCCAGGGAGCCCCACGCAGTGACCTGTCTGGTGGTCCAGCCAGGGGGAGGAAGCTGGAAATTTCAGGGTCTCACCCCGACGCTCACGGCCCCGAGCCGTCCCCTCTGGCTGCTGCGTCTGGCCATGGCTGCCTGACCCCAGCACGGCCGAGCCGACCCTTCCTCAGCCGGGCCGGGGGCTCTTCCGCTCACCCCGCTGGGCCTTTCCCCTGGCGTTGTCCAGACTTGGGAGCCCCCTTCCCCCTTACAGCTGTGGGGAGAGCGTGTGTCTCTGGGCCAGGGGAACATCAGCCCCCACTCGCTGGGGGTCACGCTGCATCCATAGGGGACTTTACCCCGGGCACCAGCATAACCCAACCCCCCCAACTCAGCCTGTGTCTTTGCCCCCGATGCCCCATGCCCAGCTAGTGCCGGTTCTGGGTCTCCCATCCCAGCGCTGCCCCCGGGTGAGCGCCCCAGGGCAGGGCAGGGCAGGGAGGAGGCCCAGGCTGGCTCACACAGGCAGGGGATGTCTCTGTCCCAGCGCCCCAGAGCCCGGCTCCCCGCCCGGCCGGATGGATGCCAGGGCTGGGTTACGGCGAGGCAGCAGCGCCCCCCGGAGCCCAGCCAGGGAAGGTTTCTCCTCTCCCGGGTGATTTCTCGGAAAGGGCCTGACTCACGGGCACATGATACAGCTGCTGCGGCTCCGTCTAGTGGCTAATCAGGCGGGTTGTTTGCTGGGTCTGTAGCCAGCAAATCCCCTGGCAGCCGGGCCCAGGCAGCACAGAGACCTAGCAAGGAAATCACTGCAGGGGAAATCTGTGCCAAAACATTACAAATTCTGCACACAATATTTTAAAATTCTGCATATTTTATTTGTCAAAATAACACAATATAATCACACCAGTGTCAATTACTTTTTAAAAATGTATTTCAAAATACCTGTCTGCAAGTATGTTGTAACAATACAGACAACAACAAAGATTCAGGAAGTTACTCCTGCCCCATGGAGCTTTCCCCAGGCTGCTGCTGGGGACAGTGCTACCAGCTCCGAGCACGACACTGAGTTACTGTATTATAAGCATTAATAATAACAACAAAAACTTAAGTGTCACCACACCCAAAATCAGCTATTGCATTGTACAGGGGCACCAGGAGCTAGAAACAGCAGTGTTCAGAGAAGAAACCCTGTAAGAAGAATCATAATTTATACGCTTCTTGTTATTCTTCATGTTGAGAATACATTGTGCAATCACGTCATTAATTTTTTCTAACAATACATTTACAAAGCACGCAGCTGCTAAGTGGGCAGAGAGGAGCTGGAACACCTCCACGGGACACTGCGGGAATCAAACGGAGACAGGAAGGTGCTGATCGGATCAGTCTGTGCTGGTTTCTTCTCCCTGGGATCCCTGCAGCCGACGGCACAGACTGACCCGCTCCCTTACGCTGCACAAATAGAGCTAGGGTGACCAGATGTCCCGATTTTATAGGGACAGTCCTGATTTTTGGGTCTTTTTCTTATATAGGCTCCTATTACCCCCCACCCCCGTCCTGATTTTTCACATTTACTGTGTGGTCACCCTAAATAGAGCAGAGGGAGAATCAGGACTGATCCCAGGGCTGTGTCTGTATGGATCAGGGAGGGGTGCCTCGCAGGTCAACTTGCACAGAGGGCCCCCCTTGGGCCCTTCTGCGAAGAGCAAACCCTACCACGTTCCACCCTATCCAAGAACCACCCAGTTAAGGGGGTGTAAGTGGTGGCTCTCACCAGCCCAGGAAAGAACCAGTACCAGCCCCACATCTGCTTGGGGGCCTGATTTATTATTAAAACACTAGAGCAGTGACACCCAGCAAAGCAATTCCCAGAACCCCTTCCCCCAGCCCCTGTCCCTCCCCTCCCCTCCCATGCCCCTTCCTTCCCCTCCCTGCTGAGCAGGCAGCCCTTAACCCTTTCCTGGCTGTTTCACCCTGTCATGGGGAAACTAGCATGTCTGGCACTGGCTAAACGAGCACCAGTGTGTGATGCCCTCCAGAGGCTGCAGAGGCTCAGGACGCTCAAGCCTGAAGTCCTGGTTCTCTCCGTGCTGTTCACATGCAGGTTATCTGGGAGCTGCACTGTCTGAAGATCCCAAAGGGGCAGGGCCTGGGTGACTCAGGGTAGGTGTCTCCCCCAAAGGCCTCTCTGAGAGCAACTCACCTGGGACAGAAGTTCCTTCACCGACCAACTTATTTTCTGTGGAGGAGTTGGATCGGTGGTAACTTCCTGTGGAGGAGAAGAGGGGGTTAGTGTCTCCCAGAAGAACATGGGGGGGGGGTCCAGATGCTCTTCTCCTCACACCCCTTCATCTTTCCCTGATTATGTAACAGGATTTCACAGGCACCGAAACCCCATTCACAGCCATGTCAGAAGCAGTGTGAGATTCACAGGTATTAGCTTTTGGGAGGATGATAATTCATCACTAGCCCCAGATACACTGAGCTGCCTCTGGGCCCTGGGCACCTCTGGGGTACAGCAGCTAAGCCAAGAACGTTACAGAAACAGGCCTGGGGTAGAGAGTCACTGGATCTGAAGAGCTCACAATGGAATTTCAATGTCACTTTCTGGACTTTTCTCCACCCTTTGTGAACCTGGAGAGAACGGCGTGCACAGGGTCAACATGAACAGCTGCACAGACAGTCGCTCAGAGGGGGTGAGGGGTGGGTGTGAGTGGGGGGGGTCCTCTCTCTTACCTGGAGGTGAGTAGCCAGCTCTCTCTTTCCCTGCGGAGAGAGAAGGGCAGATTTCAGTGAGTGCAGTTCCCAGGGCAGGCGATGGCTCCGGTCTGTCCCCACAGCCCAGAAACGAGGCCCTTAGGCCAGCACTGATATCTGGGGCTCAGAGACTCAGGGACCCACAACAGATCAAGTACAAGGGGCAGGGAAGAAGACATCTCAGTGTGAGCATTGTCCCTCCCTCACTCTATAGCAGTGGTGGGCAACCTGCGGCCCATCAGGGTAATCTGACTGCGGGACAGGAGACATTTTGCAGACGTTCGTTGACCGTCCACAGGCACGGCCCCCCGCAGCGCCCACTGGCCGGGAACAGCGAACTGCGGCCACTGGAAGCTGCGGGCGGCCGTGCCTGCAGACGGTCAATGTAAACAAACTGTCGTGTGGCCCGCCAGCGAATTACCCTGACGGGCTGCGTGTGGCCTGCAGGCTACAGGTTGCCCACCACTGCCCTATAGTGTCTGGGTCTGGCCCAGCAGCAGCTCCCCCCCACCCCCCGGGGCCTCTGGCTCAGCCCCCAGAGGGGCGGTCACAGCACTGACCCTGGGCTCCGTACTGCTGCTGCCCCTAGGGCTGCATGGCCCAGCCAGTCCACAGAAGGCAGAACCCCCGCCCCCTCCAGGCCCTCTACCTGAGCCAATCTTCCTCCAGGTGATGATTCCGACTATTGCAGCCACCACGGCAGCCACCACGGCACCGATCACTCCAGCCACAATGGGGATCACATTGGACTTCGGCTCTGAAATGGAAAAGGAGCCAGTGAATATGGGGGGGGGGAGGGGAAGAGGAGGTTACTCACCCTGTGCAGTAACTGACGTTCTTCGAGATGAGTGTCCCTGTGGGCGCTCCGCTACCCACCCTCCTCCCCTCTACTTCGGAGTTGGGGGGCCTCCGTGGTAGAGAAGGAACTGAGGAGACCGGGCACGCAAGCGCTGTGTTACCCTAGCGTC